CGCAGCGACGAGGTATGCCCGATGCCTTAGGCTTTGGCAACATCCATGAATGCAACAAATTTTTTTGATATCGCCCCTCCATTACAAAACACACTTGTACTATGACCATGAGTATGTGACGCGTCCATTTTTCTCAAGCGAACAAAGCTACAACACAGTGTTATCAATAGATCATTTTCATAGACTCTCCTGTGAAAGTTTGTAGTACCGTACGACGAACGTGAACGATGAACGTGTGACCATTTTGCATTGACCAGCTTTCTTATACCACCTTTACGTCTTGCGGATTAATTTGCATGATGGTTGATGCGACTTTACCACCTTATTGTCTAACCAGCGGACTACAACATTGTTATCCTCAGTGACGAGAGAGTCAGGATTGCATCGGTCGAATTTCCGCAGCTCTTCTACCGACTTCAGGCATTCAATCTGCTATCTCAAGTCTCAAGTTACTCCTGCGCTGAAGAATCCTTGCTCCAACAATTTGCGTAAACGAAGCAGTAATGTAAAGTAGCTGCCACAACTAACTTGTGGTTGCGCTGATTGGAATTCGTTACGGTAAATGAATTGCCAACGATTTGTAGCAGAATATCCTTTATCAGATCAGAAAGTGTAATTAAGCCTTGATATATATTGAGCTATAGATTATGCCAGAAGCACCGCAAAGCATGAATACTGCAACTCTTTACGGGTTTGGTTTATCCTTCAGCTTTGATTAACGAGAAGCTGCCCTTCGAAAGGTATGACTTGTCTATGCAGAAGTTTTATCAAATTCCACAACTATTCTCAAACGATAAAATTATGGGACGAACTTTATACTGTTTGTCTCACTGGTCTTGGTAGGCTTTGACTTTAACAATATAAAGATTGCTGCGCAATGACAACAAACGGCTGCGCGAAAGATTCACTTTGTCAAAAAAGTGATTTCCTGTAGCTAGTGATCAATACAGTCGCAGTCTAGGTATTGAACGATTCCCATCTGGATATGTGATCCGACCATCTTCTAGATTTTTTGAACTGATGCAGCGATGCATCTACCACATGTAACGAATACGTGTTGGTCTTTTCCCTCACTTCATTGAACACGGAATGAAAGTATTTGAATAAGCGTAAGAGGCGATGGAATATCATTTGCCCTTCAGAATTAGAGTCATCGAAATTAGTTTGGAGGTGTAAACCTCTTTCTGGCCCAAACATTCAAATTCTTCATGTTTTCATGCCACAACCTGGCTAGTACAGATAAGCAAATCTGTCTATCAAAGAAACTTGCCGTCATCACTGTCTTCTTCAATTTCCTCACCTTCGTACTCTTTTTCGTCGCCTTGACTTCTCCGAACTTCTTGACGACATCATCTTCATTGTGGCAGTCGTGAATCGTAGATGACCGCAGCTTCCCTCAACGTGACTTGCCTTCATGTCCCAAGATTTCTGTAGAAGCTCGGCGGCGGTCCATATTCTGAAAGAAAAAGAAAACGTTCCGATAAAGCCCAATCGTGGCACTGCGTGTCTGAAGGTTATGAAAAAGAGGACACATAAAGATTCATAAGCAACTATCACTTATTTCTCTAACATCCTCATACTGTACGGTCACAATAATATTTTAAATGAAGTTTCACTATTCCAAAAAAAGGGACTACTGTCTGATTGAGCGCGGTCCATCATTCCGTCGTGCACAAATGCTTGCGATGCTGAGCACAGAATGGACGAGCAAAGCTACGGTAGTCAGGAGGGCCAGGAACATGCTTTCGCGGCGTGCTGCAGTCCTTCAAAGTTGGTGGTGGTAAAGCCACCTCTAGGTCTCAAAAAGTTAAGGACTTCGGGAAAAGTCCGCTTTCGAAACCCTTCAAACTGCATTTTCATAATCAGCGGAAAGTATAGGCCTAGATGAGGCATTCATTCATAAGAGTTTATGCCGGACGCTGCTTCTCAGTGGTCCACAAAATTTGGAAATTGCATTCTCACTTTTTATATCAGCAGACAATTCCGTCTTTAAGGCATTCAAATTTGCCTATTGGACGGAACAGAAAAAATGTTAGATATGGCAAAGAATAAGCTTTGAAGGAAGCCAGTTGAATACGAAATAGCTTAACTAGCATTTACTCAATGTTTCAAAAACTTGCTAGGGAACAATACCTTACTCCTGCTGCTCTTTCCTTTGATGATATCTTCGTCATCTTACTGTTCAGGTGAAGATGGGCTAGACACAGATGTACCTACTGAATTAGAGGCTCAGCTGTTCACAACACCGGCGAGGAAATTCGTCTGGTTGGTATTCCAGCCGTTATTTTATGCGTTTCGTCCCTTGATCATCTATAAGAAAGCACCCACTGATCTAGAGATTATTAATGCCATAATCCAGGTGAACTGAGCTCACTGTTGAAAACAATTTTTTTTTTGATTACGACAAAGCAGTCGGAGTGCTCTTCGTAGTAGCAGAAAATCTCCAAAATATGCGATAGTACTCGTAATCATGATAATGTTGCAGATAGCTTTCGATTTATTTGTTGTGCGATTTTTTGGATATCGATCTCTCGCGTATCTCATTATTGGTACACTAGTTGCCATGGGAGTTCATCCCAGTGCGGGTCATTTTGTGTCGGAACACTACGTCTTCAAAGAAAATCAAGAAACCTACAGGTATGATTTTTTCGTTCAATGCACTTGATCCTTGAAAGCACCGTTTACCAAAATGAGGACGAATCTTTATGTTGTATGGTAACGGAACTTTTGAGCAAGTAATTTCCGAAGTCTCGCTGTAAAAGATGAACTCCGAAGCCAAATAATTGCTCCAAAAGTTAGGCGGCCAAGTTGGCCCCGCCCATCAACTTGGGTATTCTGAAGATAAGACAAAAATTCGATGTGTGAAAAGTTGGCTCTCCATTATGAGCATTAGTTCTGAACATTTCTATCTACAACCCCACTTTTAGACTCATTATCTTCTCAAAACAACCACATTGTTGGGCGGAGCTACCTTGGCCGCTTCTACCTTACGAAACAATTTTTTTCACTTCGGAATTTTTAGCTGGACTTGAGCGATTACTTAGTTGGAGGCTCCGCTATTACATAGCATCAAAATCTTGCCATATCACTCTGATTGGACTTCCCTCTATACTATGTTACAGCTACTATGGACCAT